TAATTCACTTATTGTTTACAAATTGAGATTATTGTGCAGGAAGTTTTATTTTTGGATTTTGTTGCTGGGAAGAAAAATATATTTTCTATGCCTGGTCATAATAAAAATAATGGTTTAAATTGGGGGGGGGGGGAGAAAAAGATTTTTCGAAACATACTCATTGAAAATATGACAAATAAAAAAATAGTCACAAAACATTTTCCCCATCCTCATCCATACCTAGTAAAGAATGGTCCAAATTTCACTAATTCCTGCTTTTCGGAGCCACATACTCATTGCAAATTTTCAGGCTTTCTATAACTGCGGCTTGGGGCAATTTGCCCAATGTACTAGCAAAAATGTTATGGTCATTTTTGCCGTGGGTCCCTCTGGCGTGGGGGACCCCCATCTCTGGACACCCGGACACCCTCCAATTATGCCACTGAGTCGAATTGTATTCACGACCCAACGTTTCTCCAGTCTACTGTTTTCATCAGGGGAGATCTGAAGTCGCAACTTGGCTTTTTATATTCTGAAGAGCAATAGATTTCTAGGCCTGGCCATGCTGACCAAAACTAGTATGGACAAGAATAATTCTTGAAAGGAGCTCCTGATGTGCAGCTCAGGGCCAGATCTCCCCCCCCCCCCCATCGCTGAGGTTAACTCAAGTCTTGAACTTAACACCACCCTGGTTGCCAGAGGTTCTGCATCTTTCGCCTTATTCCCGCTCGTATTTATTTTACGCGAAGCGAAGAGAACCTCTGGTGGCACGCGATACAAATCTCTCTTCCATGCTGACGTTGCCGTTTGAGAACTTGCAAAACCGGTTTTATATTTTGTGACGTTTTTAAACTTCCGGGTTTATCATACTACCAAAATAGCTCTCTTCAGACCGTTTGCAGTGTTTGGCAGCCTTGTAAAAAATATTAAAAATAAGCAGCCCAAACATGTAGATTATTCATTAGAAACATGTAGATTATTCTCGCAATGCAAAAAGCAACCATACTGATTGTTAAATTTGTGGAATGCCGTTTGTATTAACGAACGTATAAAGTCAAAACTCAAAAGTGCAAGGATACAAATATATAAATATTTAGTATGTGTGTGCGATGGGGCCAGTATGGTTGCCCTTAACAGACAACGGGAAAATATTGGCAAAATAAATCATATTAATAACTATCAAAGTCAAAGAATTATCAAAATTTAAAACCTTGAACGATATAAAGCAAGTGACTAACAATATATTTTGCAAATATTAATACTAACTGTGATAGAGTGAACATGTCATGCCGTCAACTCAAGTCATGACGCGATGGCAGCTCTTCTCCAGCGCAGAAAATCTTTTCATAGGGGAACAAACTCAAAGTCACTATTAAAGTAAATCATTTTAACACGTTCGTATTATTTCTGTATTTTGTTTACATCATGTTCTCTGAGATTTATGAACAGGTTTTTTGTCTAGCCAATCACATCACTTCATGTGACTGCTAATTATAACTAACCAATCATGTGCTTGGTACAAATTTTGTACCAAAGGAAGAGAGATTTGTATCGCGTGCCACCAGAGGTTCTCTTCGCCTCGCGTAAAATAAATACGAGCGAGAATAAGGCGAAAGATACAGAACCTCTGGCAACCAGGGTAACTTAACACTTGCAAAGTTGCAAAATGCGAGTAAAATTTTAGCCTTTGCCAACAAAAAAACTATTTCACTAGCAAACATTTGCGAGTATGGAGTGACTTTCTTTGGGTAAATTGAGCAATTATGGGAGTTTTAATTTTGCCAGTGATTTTGCACTTTTTCCTTACAGTGAAACCTTCCAGCACATGTTTCCTAGAAGCCAAAAAAGTTAAGGTAGACTCTTGGATTAATTTATTAGAAATTTCTTTTTCTCAATCAAATTTTTCATGATTAATGAATGATAGTTTTGAAAAGCTAAGTCCATGCTCAGATAAGTAGCTCTGCATGGCGTTTGCAATTGTTAGCCAGGTATAAATGTAATATCGAATAATTGATATTTGAGATGGTAAGTCTCAGGGTGGACCACGTGGGACAAAAAATCTTTTGAGTTCCCGGACAATATTTTCCCAAGAAAGAAAAAAGAGAAATTCAGAGGAAAAATTCTAACCAAAATAAAAAAAATATTACCTGTGCTGCAGGTGTAACCTCAGAAATGCAATTATATGCGCATCCATATTAATAGTGCAATCAGGGGCGTATGGTCTAATTGTCTGGGCGGTCAGCACCATGGCCCCCGGAAAACATTTCTATGTTTAGGGTCTTCGAAATCCTATTCCATGCATTTTACGCACAATTTGTGTTAATCTGAAAGCCACAATTTTTAGATATTTTATGTCATATATTAAAATATTAATAAGTTACCCCCCCCCCCAGGTTCTTCTCAGTTTTGAAAGAATTACAAAATTGGTCCTAAAGAAATGTAAGGAGGAGTCCAGACCCCCCCCCCCCATCTGTGGCTGTGGCAGAGATTTGTGCAATAAAGAATAAATGTATAGACTGTACAGATTCCCTATCGCTTTAGTGATGCCTTCTTTTGGCATCAACCTGGTTCTGACAGTAGTGTTAGTATCACTGACATTTTGTACATTGTGGAAAGCTACCCAATATATTACATTTTTCTGATATAGTGTTACGAGCCGGTCCTTACTATTTATTTTAGCAGCGCTTTTCGGTTCTATTTGCTCGCAACAAAGATTGAGAAACCAATTACTTTGAATGATATATTTATTTTCTTACTTAAAGTCTTATATTATGTCATATTACTCAATAATTAGCGCCTCTATTACTTTCCTTAATATATATATAATTCTTAATATTGTTCAAACTTATCTCTTTTCACGACTGAGCACAACAATTCTTTATCTTTAATATCTTCGCCTTAATTTGTATGTAATCCTTTTAATTCTTTCTTTAACTTATAGTTTCAATATCTTCACGGCGATGTTTTTCTGGCTTTCGCCTTAAAAATAATGCATGAATTGTCTAGTTGTGCTCAGGCTTTTATATACCTTCTGATAGGAGAAGAAACTGCAAAACTACGACTCATTTCCCCTACGCAATACAGTTCGTTGAAGCAAGTTTGAGTAAACCACAAATCGACCAACACCAAACCGAGTCATATCCGCTACGAGTCATATCCGCTACGAGTTATATCCGCTACGTTAATTGTGGGATATCTTAATTTTTAAAACTATTTTCCTACTCATGCATGCAAACTATTTAATATGAATATAAGTATATAGTATAATAGTATTTAATATATGTAAAATAACATGATATTGCTTATCATGTAACAATAGACACAAGAAGTAATTGTACCCAGTGACGAACCTAGCTCAAAATAATTGGTCAAGTAACTAATTTGAGCGCCGAGGGCGCTAGCCATCTATGGAGGCCCGGGGGCTTGCTCCTCCTAGAAAAAAAGTATTTATAAAATAACCTTTTAATAACGCCTGCGCTGATTGGTTGAAAAGCGAAAAATCCCGTGTTTCTATAACGCTATAGAACACGGGAATTTTCCACGAACTTCAAAACAACACGCTAAAAACAAATGTTTTCGCCTAAAATATCGATTAAAAATCTTCTTCAACCTGAAATTTTGTTAAACAAGCATTGGAAAACACTTACCAAACGTTTTTTCGCTTTAAATTTTCTTTAAATAACTTTTTCAGTGTGTTTTTTTCCATAATTTTGCAGTCGGCAAAACTGAAAATTGATGCCGGTATTGTTGCTAGGCAACATTTTCCTGTCATTGTGTAACGAGAATATACTTTTTAATCGCGTTAAAATTTTGTTTTTGTGTTATTATCACAAGGTTATTTAATAAAGGAAATAGAAAACATTTTTTCCTGTGTTTGTATAGAAGAGTTATAGAAACACTTGTGCTAGTTTGGGAGAACTCGAAATAATGTGGAAACACTCGCACTACGTGCTCGTGTTCCCACTGATTATTTCTCGTTCTCCCAAACTAGCACGCGTGTTTCTATTTAACAATTAGTCGCCGAAGGCGAGGTGATTACAAGCCTATATTCACTGAGCCGAAGGCGAAGTGAATATAGGCTTGTAATCACCGAGCCTGAGGCGACTAATTGTTTTAGTATAAATTTCCAGGTGTTCACAACAGTAACAACAGTAACACAACAACAGTAACACAACTTTATAAAAATTCACTTCAAATTTATTATTTTAATTAATAATTAATAATTAATAACAAGGAAGTACGTCACGGCCGAACATGCGCGTGCGACTCATCATTTTTCGAAGCTTGTCGCCTTGTCAACAGTTCAAATTACAAGTTAACAGTGTGGCTCAAATATTGCCGTATAAATCGAACATAAATGTACAGTTATTATAAATCATTGTCAACGAGTGTTCATATTTACATTAAATGTAAACTGGCAATTGTTAAATGACCCAGATGGCAGAATTGACCCCGAATTCAAGCCAAGCGACGTGAAGAAGTTTTCGTGTTCAGTCGACTGCAAATTTTGGCATAATGAAGGCGTTGAAATTGGTGTTAAGATCGTAGCAGAATGCCCGTGTTTTTCCTTCGACAAATCGAGAGATTGGCTTCGAGATATATGATGTGGATAAATGATGTTAACGCCGTTGACATTTCCTTGAATTGGCCAAGCGTTGGTCGTTCGCAATAGCTTTCAATGCTGGAATTGCTCTTGTGCCCCGTGATGGCTTTTATTTGCCGAGTCTCGATGTGCTGCTGGACAAAACTGTCACGGTTGTCGCTCGTAAGGAATGGTTGGTTAGATATGGTGTTATTCCAGCCCTTTCGGTCATCTTTTGCAGCATATTTTCGAGCGTGTTGTGGCCAACGTTACAAGCGCCGTACCAGACTTCGTGAACTTTTGGGTTGAATTTTGCCGAGCTCTCGCTTTTTGGCCTTTGGAATAACGCGGAAATATTTGGATTAAGATGATTCAAGTAGGTCAGTTTTAAGGATTTCGACAGGGCAACGTTTAGAACCGGGTTGGGAAAATATTTTACCGTCGGAGTGATCTTCAGAGCCATCTAGACCTCCCGTGTGATTTTTGCTCGTGAGAACAGCGCCGGGTTCGCTTCTGTTCAACTCGAAGTACTCTTGGCTGTCTGCGGTTTTGACTAGACGTAGCATTGACTTCTTCAGTGAACTTTGGTTTTCTCTACCACGTTTTCCGAAGTAGATGGAAATTTGAAACCAAACCGTTTGAAGCAAAGCCCGAGGACTTTGTGTATCGACATCAACAAGCTCGCGTTTTTCAGTCATACAGCTTTTTGATTATGTCGGCTGTCAAACTGACTTTGTGTACTGTGGCTGCTATCTTTCCATTCTTCACGAGCTGCTTCAGGTATGAACTAAGAGTTTTATTTGCTTCACTGAACAACACGGTATCGCATATGGAAAATCTTTTGTTGTAAGGCGGTGATTTCAAGTGGCGGTCAAGCGCTGCTCTTATGGACAACAAACTAGTTTTTTTGTAGTCTTTGCTTTCTTGCAGAGACGTAAAACTTGGAAAGACACTTATTCATTTCCTCAGTACTCATGCATTCAAATGCTGTTGTAAATTCAGCTTGGTTATGAAACCACTCTATTAAATAAACGAAGTTTTTGTGTTTATTTTCACTATAAATAGTTTGTTTACATAATTTAAATTTCAGATACGGCTTTGTGTCGCGTTACGACGAAGCCAGTTTTTTTCCAAATAAAAGCACGTAAAGTTTAGTATTTTACCTTGAAATATTTTTACACCATATTTTGTAGCTTCTTTCGTGTTTTTTTTGGAATGCTGTTCTCTTTAATTTGAGCAATTTCCTCTTCCGTAACAATGGCAAAACGAGCAGCCATTTTTAAAAAAAAGCAAAAAGCTATAGTCACTGACCAGTGACTATCACTTCAGAGAGAGTGAATCTTGACCAATCAGAATGCAGGAAAATCAATAGTCATCTGGAAATTTATACTAAAACTCTATAGAAACACGGAAAATGTTTTCTATTTCTTAAATATGCATTGCTTTCAAAAAGTATATGCTGTATAAGACATTCAAGCGAGTAGTATGATTTTCGTAGCCGATTTTGAGATTTTAACGCTCAAACATGAGGAATATGCGCATATTTATGCCAATAGCTACTATTTTCCCAACTTCAAAATTCTTTAACGCAAAACCGGCTTGAAAATTTTGCATTTTTAGTCCAACATAGTAATTTACTGGCCAAAATTTTAAATTCTCAAATTATCGGCTATCAAGCGAATCTCGTTACGAGATTCCTATCAAGCCAAAATAATTGCTTCTACAGACTCGTATATAATTTAACTATGTCAAAAAATTCAATTTATTTAATTTTCTAGTATTATTACAAAGCACCTGCAGTTGAAAGACAGGGTAAAACATGACTGCATGATTTGCACTAGCTGGCTAAAAAGTGGGCAAATTACGTCATGCATGTTCTCTAACAGAAATTCTGATGTTAATTGGTTAGTATAAGTCACTTAATCGTGTTCTTTTATAACTTGTATTTACTCGAACCATCAGTGTTACTATAGATATATCGCTACTACAACTTGTCATTTTGTTCTTGTTTCAACAATTTTTGCTCTGTAGCTCGCGAGATGATTCGCAAACTTTCTTTAGACTTCGTATAAATTCCAGTTGGACATAACTGTCGCTTCTAGCTTCGTTATCCTGCCCAAAGAGTTTTATCCTGGTATCAAGTGCCTGTTGACATGACTCCAGAGCAGAATCATAATCTTGCATTTCGTACTGACATTCTGCAATGCAGTAGTAGCTTCTAGCGCAGTCTCGGTGTTCCTTTCCATACAGCGCCACGCTAATATCCAGAGCTTGATGGTGCCAATGCAGAGCTGAATCGTACTCTTTCAAGCAATACTTTGTCACTCCAATATGACTACAAGCGGAGGAAACGTCTGGGTGGATTTTCCCATGAACGTTTTGACTGATATCAAGTGCTTGCTCGAACGATTGCAGTGCTGACTTGTAATCTCCTTTCTCAAGTTGCCCTCTTCCAATCTGGTAATAGCTGTCGGCGGTATCTGAATGGTTGCATCCATAAAGCTTTAGTCTGATATCAAGTGCCTGTTGACATGACTCCAAAGCAGAATCATAATCTTGCATTTCGTACTGACATGCTGCAATGCAGTAGTAGCTTCTAGCGCAGTCTGGGTGTTCCTTTCCGTAGAGCGCCACGCTAATATCCAGAGCTTGCTGGTGCCAATGCAGAGCTGAATCGTACTCTTTCAAGCGATACTTTGTCACTCCAATATGACTACAAGCGGAGGAAACGTCTGGGTGGATTTTCCCATGAACGTTTTGACTGATATCAAGTGCTTGCTCGAACGATTGCAGTGCTGACTTGTAATCTCCTTTCTCAAGTTGCCCTCTTCCAATCTGGTAATAGCTGTCGGCGGTATCTGAATGGTTGCATCCATAAAGCTTTAGTCTGATATCAAGTGCCTGTTGACATGACTCCAAAGCAGAATCATAATCTTGCATTTCGTACTGACATGCTGCAATGCAGTAGTAGCTTCTAGCGCAGTCTGGGTGTTCCTTTCCGTAGAGCGCCACGCTAATATCCAGAGCTTGCTGGTGCCAATGCAGAGCTGAATCGTACTCTTTCAAGCGATACTTTGTCACTCCAATATGACTACAAGCGGAGGAAACGTCTGGGTGGATTTTCCCATGAACGTTTTGACTGATATCAAGTGCTTGCTCGAACGATTGCAGTGCTGACTCCTAATCGTTTTTCTCAAGTTGCGCTCCTCCAATCTGGTAATAGCTGTCGGCGGTATCTGCATGGTTGTGTCCATAAAGCTTTAGTCTGATATCAAGTGCCTGTTGACCTGACTCCAAAGCAGAATCATAATCTTGCATTTTGCACTGACATTCTGCAATGCAGGAGTAGCTGTTAGCGGAGGATGCGTGTTCCTTTCCATAGAGCGCTACCCTAATATCCAGGGCTTGCTGGTGCCAATGCAAAGCTGAATCGTACTCTTTCAAGTAATACTTTGTCGCTCCAATCTGATTACAAGTGGAGGAAAAGTTTAGGTGGATTTTCCCATGAAGATTTTCTCTGATATCAAGTGCTTGCTCGAACGATTGCAGTGCTGACTTGTAATCTTTTTTCTCAAGTTGGGCTCTTCCAATCTGGTAATAGCTGTCGGCGGTATCTGCATGATTGTGCCCATAAAGCTTTAGTCTGATGTCTAGTGTTTCGTAATGACATGTCAAAGCGGCGTCATAATCCTTCTGACTCAGTAGAATTTTTCCAATGTTATAGTACCTTGCGGCTGTATCCGGGTTTAGCCGACCATATTCTCCTATAAAATTATCAAGAGCAAGCTGCATCGCTGCTGGACTCTCTCGCCCTATTTTTACATTTGCCAGGACGGTCGTTCTGTGCTTTCGCTTCGATTTCTTTCTGTAACTTGGAGATGGGCAAACCAAGTTTATAGATAACCTCCTTCATGTCATTATCATCCGCAACAGAGTTGATGAGAAGAGCAAGGGGCAAAATAAGTGGTTGACTTAAAGCTTTTGGGTTTTCTTTCTCGTCACCTTGTATAGCTTTGAAGAAAGCATACAAGGATGGTCTGTTAGCGCATTCTGTTAAAACAATGTTCCGATAGTAGGAAAGCTTTTGTTCGTGAGGAGTAATCAAAGCAAGAATCTGAGAGCATAAAACCTAAAGTACAGTATTTTCAAAACTCAATAGAGATATCCCTCTTTCAAGAATTTCGGCTGCGTTCGCTGCCGCTCCATGACTTAGCAAGTGAATACCATGGTAACACATTCGTTTTCCCATAGCAGCTTCTGAAGTAAGAAGAGGGTTTTGGTTCTCTATTTCTTCGGCCTCGTTTAGTAATACAAATGTAGCTCCGTAATCCCAGGTTATTTCACCAAAAGCTTTAGCAATTAACAATTGGTGTACAGCTTTAAATTTACGCTGCTCTTTTGCCTTGGCTATTGCTGATTTATAAATTTCTTGAAAAATCAGGAAATGGTGAAAGTAGAAAATAGTGTCCAGAAACAGATCCGCATCGGAAAGAACATCGAAAATTCCGTCACAGACAACCTCGTCTTGAAGACCTTCGGAGAGACTATGCATCATGTTTTCTTTGTTAAATTCAAAATCGTGAAATGCCAGGAGAGAGTTTCTAGCAAGAAACTGGTTGTTTAAATCTTTAAACAACTTGACGTAATAACTCAGGAATCGCCTTTGTGCTTCGCCGGCAATTTCTTTCATGTCAACAGCTGCTTTTTCGGAACCAAATGACCTGACCAGAGGATGAAAAGAAAACAGCACTGCTTCGGAGGAATTTGCTTCAACCAAATATTTTCTCTGGAGTCTCAACAAAGTTTTCTTTGCTGTGTCTTCATCTCCCCCAATGACGTTTACTGCTGCTTGCTCGTTGAACACTTCACTGACAAAAACTGAAAGACAAACAAATGCTTCTTGCTCTTCTCGAGATAGTCTTTTGAAATAAGACTCGAACAAGACATTTAAATTTTGATCAGTAGGCGCATCTGGATCGTCTAACAAGTCTGCTAGCTTTTTTGAGGAACGGCTAAAGTTGTCAAGAAATTGAGATATACTCTTCTTCTCGTCAACGATTTGACCGCACAAAAGCTTGATGGCCAGCGGAACGTGTCCACAAACCTCAGCCACTCTGCAGCATTCACTTTCATCAGCAATAAGGACAAGTTCTTGAACAAGCATTTGTGCCGATTTCCTGTCTAGCGATGTCACACTAACAGACTTTTGATTCTCAAATTTTCTTCCAAGCACCGATTGAAGACTTACCCTTGTGGTGAGTAGAAAGGATACATTCTTGCAATGAGAAAAGATCTTTTCCAGCATGTCTAAAACATCTTGGCTCGTTTCACCACCACTCTCAAAAAGGTCATCGGCGTTATCGAGGATGATACAAATATTGGAAGGAATTGCACTGAGGAGTCCGCATAGTTTTGAACTCTCTCGCCCCGTTACATCAGACGCATGTGCAAAGGTGTTTAACAGGTCAGAGATCAGCTCTTTTGCTGTCTTGACGCTTCTCAAGGAAAGGAAATAAACTGGTAGTCCGAGCTGTCTAAGTTGGTGTCCTACTGCAATAGCCAATGAGGTTTTGCCAAAACCAGGGGGTCCAGATACAGAGACTAGCCAAGCAGATGTGGACGTCAACGCATGCGAGATATCTTCAATTTTTTGTTGTCGACCAATGAAATGGGGCACCATGGGAGGAAGGCAGATCTTGGGCACGGACTTGGCAAACACTGTGGTCAAATATAGAAAATATGGTTAAAATGTAGGCGTTATCTGTTAGAGTAAGGGCGAAAGAGCTTAAAGCAACGAAGCACCAGCTTGCTTTTGGAAGTTAAAAAAGTGTCGTTTTACACATTACGCGGGTGGGCATACGGCCGGGCGGTACATCACCCACTATACTGTATACTTTGATCGCTATCAAAAGTGCTGAAGCAACTGTATCATGTAGCATACTTGCTACAGTTTATTTTAAATTGTCGCCGCTTGTGTAATTTTTTACGCATAACTAAGTCATTACACATGATTATAAAGTATAAACATTTACAATTAGTCAAAATACTAGTGACTGTGACATTTTTGACTGCCCAACATCTCGGGTCGATTCTATAATAAGTGCACGCTTGCAATATACATTTACTAACAATCGTACCAACTTAAGATGATGTTTCCTTACTGTGGCACGCGAATACAAGCATATCAGCAATAAACATCGCGGGCGGTACATCACCCACTATACTTTATACATACAAGTTCTTGTGATTAGAGCTGGATAACTGAACTCTGTAACTCAGTTGGTTAGAGCGCTGTACCGGAAATCCGGAATCGCAAGGCCGCACGTTCAATTCTAGCCTGCGAGGCAGGCTCAGGTTAGGGGAAGGAAGAGCCTGCAGTCGCTTAATATATTTTCGTGTATAGCATTCGCCTTCGAACTATAGATTCATTGGTTATAGCTCTAATGAGACGTCAATCAATTGTATTATTATTCATTCTACTATTTTCTCGTATTCTTATAGGTTGAAAGCCTACATATAATTTTCCGTATCTCTGTGCAGACATGAACATGACAAATAAATCTCGTATCTCCATGTGAACAAAAATAAATATCGTATCTGTAGGTGTCCGCGTATTTTTGCAGCGGTATTTTGCATGAATTGGAAAAAAGCGGGAAATTTTGTAAAATTATTTTGTTTTGACCATCGCTTCGATCTGCTGCTTTCTAATTTTGAAAAATAATAGAATAATAATGCATAATAAAAATATTATTGTATTTGGCTTACGCAGGATATTAGAATTATTCAGACCTCGGTCAGTGTTATCTGCCCCAGCTTCGCTTCTGATATCTTGCTCAGCCTCGTCCAATAATTCTTAAATATCAATATTCAAAACGGTCAGCAACGACAAGGCGTTCGAGGAGTGTTTAAGAGCATTGCAACAAGATTAACAATATCCTGATAACTCACTTCACTGTAAAATAGTATGCAGATATTCTAGGATTTCTGCACGGAATAAGTGTTGATGTTGCGAAAGCAATGTAGCGTTGATTCCTAGCTCATTTTCGTTACCTTTCAAATTTTCCAAGTTGCAAGCGCTCCTCAATAAAGTGTTTTGTATTTGGCAATAAGCCTTAATCTCCCTATATACAATGGTGTTTGAGAATAAAGAGAGTTGATCAGGTTTGATGGATTTCAAACAACTGTCCTACGTACATGGCTTTGCATTCCCGGTTAACTTTTCGCTCAAAGCATATTGATTAGTTCCCTCGAGAAAACTCGCGAAAAAATGCATTTGCTCTAACTATAAAATTGCTTTTAACAACAACTCTGAAGTTCGCCATCCCTGTATTAATTTAATGAAATCGTGCGTGATTGACATTTCGCAAGAGGAAAACAACAAAATTCTGCTCTGACATGATTGGTCAATCTACAAAGCGAATTTGGATTTATTATAAGGGCGGCACGAAAATTTATTAGAAGCCACTGCAGGCTGGACTTCCTTCCCCTAACCAGAGTCAGCCTCGCAGGCTAGTTCAGGCAGGGGGCCCATAGTTGCATTTTTCGAAGCTGCTCCTGGTTAAATTAACCTTCAACTGTTAGTTCAATCGACCAACAGATGATATCTCAAGCTGCATTACGTAATCATAGAATTTGGTAAAAAATTAGAACGTCATGTGGCACACGTGCTGTTTTTTGATTGGACAATTTAAAGTTGAGATATAATCTATTACATGTATATATAAAACAATGTTTCAAACACTCATTAATAATTCATAAGCTTATTGGCAAATCATGTCAACCATAATATGTCACGTGCAGTGGCTTTAAACCTGATAAAACACTCCTAATTAGTATTCTTTATATAAAGAATACTAATAAGGCAGTATCTATTGTAGTCGTGTCCTCATTGGTGTTCTTTATATAAAGAATACTAATAAGGCAGTATATCTATTGAATTTGTAGTCGTGTTTGAAGCCGTTTAATAAACTCGCAGGTCGTGTTTTATTAGGTCTAAAGCCACTCGCGCTGCGCGCTCGTGGCTTTAAACCTAATAAAACACTCCTGCTCGTTTATTAAACAGTACTTTACTGACTTTTCGTCACTAATTTAAATTAAGTAATAATCTCACTTGTGCGATTACTTATGACAGTTGCACCTGTGATAATTATTGCTGAATCAGTATTAACACCGAGACACACCAGACGCGATGCGAGAACGCGGCGCGATTTTTCAGTTTTTGAAAAGTTATTTTGAAAGGAAATTTAAAAAAATACAGTATTTGTACCAAATTATTCAAAATGTTATAGCGCTTCTAAATAATTGAAACCGGATTTCGGTACGTGGATTATCAACCAAGAATTCCTGGTTAATAATCCACTTAAAATTATCTCGTTAGTTCAACCATATACCCTGATTAAATTAGCCACAATAGTGATCAAATTAACCAGCACTGCGGTTAAATTAACCGGGAAATTTATCCAGGAATATTAAATTATTCTAAATACTATTAATTTTAGACTAACAAGGAAATTTTCTATCCGGGTGTTTTTGCGTGTATTATTCTCTATATATTGCGTAACCGTGTATATACCTTGAACTTCCTCTGGAATATAAAATCTCTTCAGCACATGCTGAACGTAAGAAGCTGAAACTGCCGCACCAAATTGGCACCAAGACGAATTTCCAAGTTCATCATTTGCCCACTTTGTAATAGATTTACAGGACAGCCACGGTACTCCAGAGTTCTGACAAGTTGCATATATCCCTTAAAACGATAAAACGGAGGTTATCTTTGATATTTGAGGGAAACATCGGAACTCAAAGACATTCATGTCTTACACACGAGAGCGTTACCCGAAGGTGACATGTTTCTGTTAACTTTCTGACGAGCTTTACGGTTCTCCTCTAGCCTCTGGTTAGGGGCTCTAATTGTCATTACAAACTTACAGATTCGATCTCTGTTTAGGCACTGGCATTCCAAGTTCACAGGTTGATAGAATGGCAGCCATCTTGAGTTTTTGAACATATAATGTGCTTTTGAATAGTATAAATAACGCGTTTGTGGCAAAATATTTATAATACTGCGAGTGCGTAGCACGAGTGTAATTTCTGACATTATATTTCAAATTCAAACCTATAAAAACTGTAAATAATCTTTTTTTCTTCTTTATCTCCTGTATTTGAGCGTAAATAAGAGCTGAGACAATAATATAAATTTTCACGTTGTTTATTTAGATTTTGTGTTTAAAATTTCGGCACTCACGTGACCGTGCGGAATGGACGTGTGCTCGTATACGTCCCGATAAATCTTTAATCGGTACAGTTTTTAATTAACCAATAAGAAACGACTAAATTGACTAAAATGATATTTGTTATGAAATTGGTTGGATCTTTTAAATAGAGTTTGTCTATTTAATTATTCCTACTGCACAACCATTTTCTACTCGGATTTGAAAGATTTAGAAAATTTCCCCGGGACGACGCTTCTAATTTACTGACAAGATTAAATTTAGCAAACAACTTTTGTTTATTTTTCCAGTTTTACGAGGAAATTATTCGGATCGTTCGCATTAGTATACCTACTTTTTGACGCCATGTCTATTCCAATGGTTCCCGTTTTGTGCGAATTCCTCTTTTTGTCGTCGCCATCTTGTAAACCTGTCGTAAACTGACCAACATGGACTTTTGGAACTACCACATTTTCACAAGGACCAACCCACGCAAATATCCCACGGTCGAACAAATGCACCAGTCCCAAATTGCAGCCATACCCTGCACGATCAAAATTCGACAAACCGTCATCCTGTTGTTCAAGAAAGTAGACTTGTGATGACACCACGACATCACCAAGGTCATGGTCTTCTTTCCTTACACCATCGCAAACGCCCAGGCTAACAATAGCTTTCGGTTTAAGTTCTTGGATTGTTTCATAAACCAGAATGTCATGTCCTGACGAAGTGCCGGTCTTGCCGAAGTGTGGAACTTTCAGGAGCGTAACTTTGTTGCTACCGATTTCTCCAAAGCAACAGTTTTTTCCACTTTCGTCTTTTTTGCAGGGTATTTCGACATTCTTTAATATTTTTTGCGCTACGTTGAACTCCGTGTCGTCCACTGTCAGCAGAAGAACGTCGTTAAAATCTTTGAATTGGGAGTCCGACGTGGTGGTACATTGATCTAAACAAAGAAACATGCGGACAAATAAAAGAAAAAGAAAAATAAGATAGACAGACGGACAGAAAGACTGACGGTCCTTCAGTCTTTCTATTCCTTTGTCTATCTTATTTTTCGGTCAGACTGACGGGCGGAAAGACGGACGAAAGATAGATCTATTTTTATTTGCCGGAATAATCAGAGACAAATCCATCAATATATTGAGAAACCACTTAATGATATTTGGTACTGGCCCGAGTGACAATCCATACCGGAGAATCAGAGAAAAAGTTTACTTGCCGCAGCTGGTCAATTCGGTATACTTTCCAGGGACTGTGGACATTCTATTCGTAAATGGGTGCACCCGGACATGGAGTTGTTCAGACAACGCACGCGTTTCCCATTGTTTGGAAGATGAATTGAATGACAAATCCTTCAAGTGGCAGAATCATGTACATTCAACAAACTAGTCTCGAGGATTCTTTAGACAAATGTGTCAATGTTAAAGCGTGAACAAAAGGAAAGTGTGTCGAGTCTATTTGACTGTGTTCTCAATAGGATTTGGAAAGAAGCTAAAGTTCACATAAGTTAGATAAGCACAAGCATAAGAAAGGACAAATGGCAAAACAGGGAAATGCAATGAAGAATGCAACATAACCTTCGACATAAACACAAGAAAAGGGAAACAGAAGACATTGAAAAGAAAATACTGTTCGCCTTATTTTTGTAAGTCCCAAAGGCAAATTTTCTTTGTATTCCCGCTTATGCTTATTTCACTCGCGTGAACCAGGCTTAATTTATCGGTTGTTTGTAATAACTAAAACTCGCTTATCTAGCGATGTTAACAAGAAGGCCGTAGCGTTTATAATTTTGCATTAAAAAGCATTGTTGGAGAACAATTGAAGGATGTTATGGCCTTGGGGTTCCAGGGATTATATTGTCCATGGACGATGATGGTTTGAAATCGATACGCGATCCTGAGAACAACATGCTGTAGTATACGGTTCTGCATGATATTTGGACACGATGAGTGAAGTGTTTTTAGGATTCGAAATAGATCGCTTTTATAACTTCCAATATGAATATACTTGTTTGCATGTACTCAGTCTATTCCCTTACCCTGAATCGCTATGTTGAACACCAAAAAGCACAAGAATCCTATAGACCCCTTCCCTTGTTTACGTTTTACTGGCAGGCAAAAATACCCAGGAGAGTATACTTTGTTGCTGTATATGTATTGTCAGAAGCCGTTCATCAGCATCTTGATTTTGTTCTTTTGCATTTTGGCGGTGAAAGCATGCTTACAGCACCACTCAACCAAAAGTTTCCTTTGTCGAGTTCTTCGTTGTCCCTTGCCCCCTTAGATGGTTTGCCCAACAAAATAACTGTTCTTTGTATTTTTGCAAAAAGTCTATTTGATGATGCATTCCCTGCAGCTACAAATGGTTTGAGCAGCCGTCAACCACCATCTCGGGGAATTCGGTGAAATATTATTTCGAGGAATGAAGAATACCTTTCTGGAGCGGGGCATATCAACTTTAATACGAAGCTGAAAAACAACGCCTGGGGAATTTAACGATAAATTTAATGATCCTGATATGGTGTAAATGCAGCGTTCCAATTGGGAAATTTATAATTAAGGTATAATATTACATAAATTTAACTTCATACCTGTGGCATCTTTTGTCTGTGTTAATACACCTTTAATGCTACTCAGTTCATGTTTCACTTCATTCATTTCATATTTCACTTCACTCATTTCATATTTCACTTCACACATTTCATGCTTCATTCCACTCATTTCATGTTTAACCTCATTTTCAAGAAACCGATGGAAATGATTTCTCAGATGATTGATTTCTTCATTAAGTTTTTCAACGTCCTTTGTAGGAAAATCCGATTCTTTCAAGTTGCCAATTCTCTCCAGAGATGTCGTGCTAAAATTCAAAGCAGTGAACGCGTCTTTGGCGTGCTTGACATAGTCATCGAATGTGACTTTATTAATTTGAGGGTTGGATGTATGACAAAGAATGTTTCGTAAAAGACGAAGCTGATCAATGGCAAGTGCAATCGTCTCATTTGCATCTCCACTCGAGCTCCTCACTGCAGAGTGGAATGGAGCAGGGGCTGGCTTTCGTCCTTTCAAATACATTTCTCCAAGCGTCTTTTTCTTTCCTGTGCTGTCTGGTAGCGCAAATGTTCTTGCATACAGAGTAGCTTGGAATAGTGCAGTACAGTCCCACTTTTCAAATGGTTCGTTCATAGGGAGTTTTGCAGCCACATCGCATTGGAGCTTATTGCGTCCAGGAGGCGAATCATCCCAAAATGTGGAACTTGGTGCAACTCTGGTGTCCCACATGTCTACAAAGATGCTACGCAAAGCATCTGGGAATTCCTTTAGGGCAAACGACGCAAACTTAAAGTAGTTCAGCTCTTCATCAGAATACGGCTGCACAGACATGTTGGCTGAGTTTCTGAGTAAAAATGACACAAAAATAAAGAACATGAAAAAACTGATACAAGGAAAAACATAGATATAAAGATACATGTTCAAAGCAAACAGCTCTGACTTGTAAATTTACGACGCAATGTTTCGAAACTCCGGTTGGGCGATATTTCAACAAATCATGTCATGATTAACATCGCTATAAACGTGTTAAAAACAATGCCCATAGTTTCAATTTTAGATAATATACCGTACAGTAAAAACATATTAACATAACAATTAAGCTACATTAGCAACTAATATAAGGGATATATCAGTTTATATCTTTTTTATAAAGAAGAAATTTCATTTCATCATTGCATAAAGCTGTCCAATGGGATAGTGGCAAAGCTGGGAAAAGAAAGGAACAATGTACACATGCCAAACAATATCACGATTGTCATTGATCATTACGAATTGAATTTTTAGTGAATTTTTTAATGATTCTTCAGTGGTGGGGCAAAACTGCCAAAGGGCCCATTTTCCTTGTCCTCCCCCAGGATAGAATATGCGATCGTCGAAGGTGTGAGCTGAGTGCGACAGGCACGAGTTAGCTAGCGTGGTCTGGGGACATGCCCACCCAGGGAATTTTCAAAATTTGGGTCTCTAAAATAGCGTTTCCTGCATTCTGAGAACACATTTTAAAAAATATCTCAGCTTCTCAACACAAAGTTTTAATGATGAAATTTGTAATAAATTGCACGCTAAACATTCAAACACAACTGATAAGTTTAAGTATGCTCGCCAACAAATTTTGTTTTTTTAACTTCTTTTCAATGTTAAACTCGTTTACTCAATACAGGTCCTAGTGTCCTAGCTTTGGGGCAATAGGCCATTTTTTTCTTCAGTGGTGGGGCAGATGAAGGGGTCCAGTGGGGCAAATGCCCCACCAGTCCATGGTATTAAAAAATGCCTTGATCACTCATGTTTCTACCTTAGATACGATAATCGTGAGTTAAAATATCAGTTGAAGGGTTCAGTCATTGTTCATGGAAATATGTTGGAGTGGAAGAAATGTGTAATGATGTAATATGTTTATTTCGGTTTGCGGCAGTCGCACTACACTTTGGAAATCACAAAAATATTAATAACTTACTGACCGAGAGTGAGGGCAGTACGGGAAAATATCCAACCGAGGTCTTGCTGTATTGACCGAGCTATAGCGAGGTCAATACAGCAAGACCGAGGGTGAATATTTTCCCGTACTGCTCGAACGGTTGAGGTCAGTAAGTTTTTTATTATATGGCATTGTACGTTTGTAAAAAAATGGGAAAAAAGGTCACGCGAGGGCAAAGTACAAAGTCCGAAACATTTGCAAAAAAGAACAATTGTAAAAAATGTTCTCAAGCTTGGTTTGTAATACTACTCTACAGCACTTTTTATATCGAATACGAGGTATTTCGTCATTTAATCAAAGACAAAGACAACAAATATGAAAACAATAAAATTATTAAACAGTATGGACAAGTACGTTTTTAGTTCGCTTCATCTCATAAATATGTCTCTTTTTATCGAAAAAACCCAGAAATTTTCAGGAAAAAAATATAAATCTGTGGCTGCTTTAGTTGTATTTTTTATTTAGGATGGTCTCAAATTCCTCGGCTAACTGCAAATAAGATTTGCAGCTCTTCACAGAGTCAAAACACAGCTATTCCTGACTTCTTTGATAGTTATAAACATTGTAAAATTTACCTTGTAATTTCGACTTTCGCTAACAAAAACATATTGAGAAAGTTCTTTAACCAAAGATGGTGCTCCTTTTCTTTAGTTTAGGTTTATTTTTCTTCGTTTTGAATAGTTTTGAAAGACTTTTAGACACTTTTTGCCGTTTGAAACTCTGCTCTTGTCGTAGGGCAATAAAAATTGCGTATTGCCCGTGGGCAATACGGGAAAATCCTGCCTCGTTAGCAGCCAATCAAATTGCGCGATTCATCAAAACAAATGCTTGCCATATAATAATATATGGTATGGATTCATTTTTATTTTTCGTCGCTGGGGCATGGGGCTAACGACTTTAAGTTTTAAGTTTTTCTACTCTTTTTACAGTCACAATTTGAGGCATTACGTAATATATCTCACTGGTATCTCACTGAGTATCTCACTGGGTTGCCATTTGTTCTTCCACCTTCAGACCCGTGCAATTTCGAACGTCTTACAAAACTTCACTCGTGCATGTTTTTTCCATACTATAATAGTTATAATAATATACATGAAAACATTTTTCAATTCTGATTGGCAAAGAGCAATACAATGCCAAGAAACGAAATACAGGGCAGAAAAATAAATATAGTGCGAATAAAATAATTTTCTTAACTTTTTAAATTTTTTATTTTTCAAGTTTCTTAATTTTTTTAATTTCTTAATTTCTAAATGTGACTTACGCACGTGAATACATATATGTTATTTACAACACCGCGGAAAAACGTCTGCGCATGCACCAAATTATGAAAATTTGGCGGGGAATTTAAATATCAATTTCTAAAACAAAAACATGCTTATTAATTGGTCAAAAATTAGTAAAACAAACGAGAAAATATAGAAAATGGGTAGACTAGACATTAATTGAAAGCGTCCTGGCATTTAAAGTATGGAATGAAATATAATTCATGTAAAAAATTGTTGATATTAACGGACACGACTTCGAAAATTTTTACAGAATTATTCAAAACAAAAATTCAAACTAAAAAGTTAAGAAAACTCTCGAAAAGTTAAGCTTCTTAACCCACTCAAATTGTAGAATAAATCCTAAAGTTTAATTATTGTGAACACGAAAATTTTTTATATTTGGCGACATAGTTTTTTTTAATGAAATGTATCTCAAACGAAAATTCGGAAATTGTCGTTGCTTAGTTGATAAACAAAATTTTTCAGACGATAAATTTGTCAACAATCACCTTTAGTTCATGTTCTTGTACAATACAATTTCTTGAACCTTCTGGCTGTATTTATTCCTAGTTTTTAGAATGACATGTTTACTTTTACGCTCGAAATCTGGCTGTAAAGACACACAATGAAGTCACTCCTTTTTACCGCCATTTTGAGCTTTCGGAAACGTTCGGAACAGCTTCTCATCAAGTTCGCAATACTATTACAGGTAAGGTTGACGCATGCGCAGACGTTTTTCCGCGGTGTTGTTATTTACCGGCTGCGAGGTCCAGATGAGAAAAACTGCATGTGCATGCCCGAGGTCTTGAAAACGGCCCGAGCCCGAAGGGCTAGGGACGTTTTCAAGACCGAGGGCACAGTTTTTCTCATCCGGACCGACGCTGCCGGTAAATAACGTGTTTATTTTTTATCAGATTTATAAATTAAATTCATGAAAATTCCAGTGTTGCTTGCGAACTAATTTGAGATCAGTGAAGTTGTGTATTTTCAAAGCGAGGCTGACAAAAATTGAAAAGTTGAAAGATATAAAACACGAATACGAAAATTAAAACTCGAGAAAACTGGCAAGAAACACACAAAAAGACGTATAGTTTCAGTAAAAATGTACCTGCTTTTTTCATGAATGTGGTAGCAGAGAAGCTTTGGAATAAAAACTTTTATGCCTGGCGTTTTGGCTTTGACAAAATCAGTTGCTCCTGACAACGACAGGTTCATGTTCAGATCCGATCAAAAACATATAAAAATCAATCTGTTTTGATTTAATCAACGTTTTTCTACTAAAAAGACAATGATAAAGGTATGTTACTTTTATATTTTTGTATTTTTTCCTGTCGTATCACGATAATATGGTTGAAAAAAGTGTTTTTAAACACAAACTTTTACTTTGTTTACAATATTTATATCAGTGAAAAATGCATGACACAAATGGGTAGAGAATATATTCGTGACTTGTTTTCACTGCTGCAGTTAAACCTTCTTTTAAATGGGAAAACATTTATTTTACAATCGTATATATCTGTTTATGCTGTAATTTTTTCGCTTTTAAGTGGCAGAATACATGAGCATTTAAAAAAATATATAGTTTTCTCGACGTATAAGTTTTATACATGTCAAATAACTTCCGACTTTCTGTCGCATTTTTATCAAAATATTGTCAATTCTTGTGAACATCGTGCTTAGTATGAAGGCTTTAGGGCTTGATGCAATTCATTTTCGTATTCTGACTATTGTTAGGCTATGTTTTTCAAACGTTTTTGGCAAATTGTTTCGTTTAAAAAGTGTTTCACTCCTCAGTTTTTGCCACGAAAACCAGAGCGGGCATTTCACAGCGGGCAGTTGCGTTTCAGAGCGGGCCGGATGCAAAAAACCGCCCGCTCTGAAAGTCACCTCAGCCAATCAGATTGCTTCATTTTCACAGATAAAAATAAATTATCAATAATTAAATTCGACGATAGTATGACGTATGAAACAGGCCTTACATGTACTCAGTAACGTCACGCGCATGCTTTTACTGGCGCCTTGAATTTTTAGGCCCGCGAAGGAGCAACAGGTCAACACTTTTCCATCAACCAAACTGACGTGACGTCATTTTCGCAAGATGGAAGTGTTAAATGGCTATGTAACCAACCCTACCCCTACTCTAACCCCAAAACCCTGACTCTAACCCTAACCAAAATGATAAAATAAATCCAAAAAGAGTAAACTTTAGAAATTGATCAAATGACGTAACGCCAGTTTGATGTATGGAAACGAGTGAAAACAGGAGTAAGAAGAATACAAAATTTTGATGCTAAAGTTGCGGAAAAACTGTTTAAAATGCTGGCATGGAAATAAAAAATTTCGGCGATTCACATACTAATTTGCTAATTTTTTCAGCATCTGGGCCGCGGGATTTGTCATGAAATATCTTAAATCATTCGTAGATTTTTGTGGTGTTCGTTGCTCAGTTCTAATTTTCGAAATTATTGTATTTTTTATCTTTTGCCGAATCAGTATATAAATGGCAGTTTTTATCAAAAGCTTGAAGATGCTTTCTAAATCACATATGTTCAGTTTTTTGCCTTTTTCTATGTTTGTGGTATTGCTGGCGTTTTTTCTCGAACTATAGATAAAATTGCTTTGTTCCTTCAGTCTACTATTTCTTGCTTATAACGCACGCGGATTAGCCAATCAAATTGCATGTTATTTCCCACTTATATTATTAAGGAAGTGCTAGCATACTTAGGTACCTCGCCTACAGGAAGAACATTCCTTAATTATTTATTTTAATTAACCCGTTCAAGGAAGAACATGTCAAAATCAATGCATAGGCATTGTTACTACAGATTTGCCCTTGACTGATAATACCCTACATTCTGGTATCTAATTTCTATATGTATATTATTCTATTATATGAATATTATATGTTCTTATAAACTAACAAATTTGTTAACATGATCCAACTGGAAAGCAGTCAAGCGTTTTTTACACGTACCAATCGACGTACTTGCTTAGAAAAGTTTAATTAAATCTTTCTAAATTTCATTTAAGTACTAATTACATTAACAAATACACTTCAATTCATGAACAAAACTAGATGCTGTGCTTTTATTCATTCAGTTATTTCATAAGAAACTTTCAAAGGGATTAAAATTTCCGTGGAGAGCAGTTTTACATTTTTTTTCCGGCAGCCGGAAGTGATTGGACTCAGACCACAGGTCGTTCAATATGATTGTATATCACCATAAATATTAAATTATGGTTAAAACAAGTTTACTTATCGCTAATTCAAGGTGTATTTGCCATTTTGCTGTAGTATCGATCATATTTCAGACCGTTTGTGACATTTATTAAAAATAGTTTTATTAGCCGCCATGTTGTGCTGTTTTAATATTATTATTAATTTACGGCCATATCCAACACTATCCGTAGAAATATTCGACAAAAATCAATTAATCGTCGTTAATGCTTCACTTATTAAGATATTATTCATCACGTAGTGCTCTCGTTAAAATCTCTCTCAGTAAAAAGGTAGGAGACTGCCGCTCGCCAACGACACACATCCCCGACACTGTATTTGATCCCAAGGATAGTTTCCGCGAGACTGTTTCATTATTTGTTGTGTCTGCTCTACTTTCAAAATGCGAATGCCAAAATAGCCGCTACTACCGTGAAAAGTGTCACCTTGTATTGAGATCAACCAACAACAGGGAGCCACAAAAATATGCAAAAGTAAGTTAACTCACCGTTCAGAACGTTCGGATCGATCTATTCCATTTCTAAAAAGAAAACATTCGCTTTACACAACGTGTAGACTATTATTATTACCTTGAACATAAAAGAATTTCAAGGTTCTCTTTATTTCTCGGTTTTCTGCTTATTTAGTGAATTGATTCAAGGATGCACTTTCGTACTGGCAATATCTCGAAGGGAAACAGATCGTCTTAGAATTTATCTTTCAAAACAGGAATTTTATCTCCACCATACATTTACATGTTGGAGTATCCAACACAACCATAGGCATACGGGAGGGAAAAATAGGGAGCCAGACATAAATATGCCCGAACGTTGATGCAAATTCCCCGATATATAAATACATAATTCTCATAATTTCAATGTCGCTAATATCCACCGAGGTACATTTTTTTAAATAACAAATACTTTAAGTTATGACACTTACCCACATCTTTTTTCAATATTTCCCTTTTCCAACTTCAAAAATAATCAAACTTCAAGCTACATTTTGTTGTTTAATAAAAGTCCATTTTTCTTGAATCAGGTTGCGTCTTGTTCAAATTCAATCAGTTTCTGAAAACTCTTGTCGTTAACAATGCCATTACAACTTGTTGGCAGATTTGGTATAGATTTGTGAACACAGTCACAAGCTTGCTGGAACGGACTTGTTACAACTTGACGATGATATGGCTTCTTATCAACAAGCTTGGTACAAGATGTTCCAACAACTTTCTACAGGTCTGCAAACCTACAAGTTGTAACTGGCTTGTTGATAACAAGCATGCGACATATCTCGCTTATCGAGTATCACTCGAGTATCGAGTGACTTTATTTGGGTAAATTGAGCAATTATGGGATTTTAAATTTAAAGATAAACTTTGTGTTTTAAAAGCTCAAAAGTGTTGTATATATTTTTTGCTAAATGGAGATGAAGCGGTTGAAAAAACCCCAGAAAGAACAAGGCATAGTGTATTATTGTGTCATAATGCACGCGTATTAGCCATTCAAATTGCATATTATATAAGATCATACTAAAGTTACCACGCCCACAGGAAGAACATTCCTCATTTTATTAATTTTAACCCCTTCGTGGAAGAACACATGGAAATCAATGCTTATGGGCATTGTTAGTACAGATTTGCTCTTGATTGAAAATACTTATATTCTGGTATCTAATTTCTATATCTATATTATTTTCCATATATATATATATATATATATATATATATATATATATATATATATATATATATATATATATATATATATATATATATATATATATATATATATATATATATATATATATATATATATATATATATATATATGTATATATATATATATATATATATATATATATATATATATAAATCAATCAATCAATCAATCAATCAGTGATACATCAGAGCTCAAATAACAACTAACGTTGTTACGTTTCGGGGCAAGCCCCTTCTTCAGAATACATGTGTACACTTGATTTCAACTATGGGTTGAATTTAAAAGACTTTGTTTGAACAATAGAGCTAATCAAGCGAATTATTATAATTAGGGTATGCAGACAGTTTAAATAGTTGAAATCAAGTGTACACATGTATTCTGAAGAAGGGGCTTGCCCCGAAACGTTATGAAAAGTTATTATATGAGCTCTGATGTATCATTGATTGATTTATATAAATGTTGGGCTTTAGAGAAAGTTGGCTCAGTGATACATTTATATATATATATATATATATATATATATATATATATATATAATATATATATATATATATATATATATTATATATATATATATATATATAATATATATATATATAATATATATATATATACAGGGTGTATCAAAATAAACGCAATTCATCTTTTGTGCTTAATAACTTTCGAAATACTATTTCTAGTTAAACGCTTTTAGGCTTACTTCAAAGCC